GGAAGCCGGTCGTTATGGGGATGCCTTCTGTTTGCTTCAGTTTTCTTCCTTTTCGCAGAGGCCGCAAGCTCCCTTGGTCCCAAGGAGGGCAGGAGGGTGGGGGAGTTGGGGTGTGCCTTCTCCAGAGCAGCTCCTGGGGAATCCGCAGGGCCGTGGGGTCCAGTCTGGACTCAGCAAGGTCAGGGGGACCTTGGAAGACTGCTTGAGCCCTCTCAGCCTCAGTTTCCCAGATCTGCCCTGGGAACAGTGGTTTCCACCTCTTAGGGTTGTTACAAGGGTCAGGGGATTGATGTGTCTGTATAGAAACTAGATTCTTTATTTTTTTTTAGAAACTAGATTCTTTGTTTGTTGGGGGGGGCACACTTGGCGGTGCTCAGGACTTTCTCTTGAGTCTGTGCTCAGAGGTCACTCCTGGCAGGTCTCACACCATAATGAGTGTCCAGGATTGGACCCAGGTTGGCTGTGTACAAGGCAAAGGCCCTACTTGCTGTTCCATTGCTGCGGCCCCTAAAATCTAGATTCTTTTTATTTTTTATTGAATCACTGTGAGATAGACCCTTACAAAGCTGTTAATGATGGATTTGAACACCCCTCCTTCCACGAGTGTTTATTTCCTGGCATCAGTGTTCTCAGGTTCTTTACCATCAACTCACTCCACCCACCAGCCCTATGGCAGATGCGTGCTCTCTCTCTCTCTCTCGCTCGCTCTCGCTCTCGCTCTCGCTCTCTGTTTCTCTCTCTCTCTCTCTGTTTCTCTCTCTCTCTCTCTGTTTCTCTCTCTCTCTCTCTCTCGCTCTCTCTCCCCCCCCCCTTTTGGGTATTGTGGCTTGCAATATTGATATTGAACCTAGATTCTTAAACTGTGAGTCATGGCCCCATCATTGGAGTAACTTAGAAAATATTTGAAAATAACTTTCTTTATAAGTTATCAGTAAATATTTGATTTGCATGCCTATTTTGTATACCTGTTTAATATGACCAATGTACCTGGTTTGTAGCTTTTTGTTTCTTTTTTTGTTTATTGGAGCAGAGTACACCTGGCGGTGCTCAGGACTTAATTCTAGCTCTGTGCTCAGGGATCACTCCTGTCTGGGCTCAGGGAACCATCTGGGGTGCCAGGGATCAAGCCCAGGTCAGCCATGTGCAAGGCAAGCAACCTACCCACGGTACCATCTAGCCCCTTAGGACCAGATTATGTTCATGCCTCTTGGGTGAACGGGGCCATGAGTGGAAGCGGATAGAGGATAAGGCAGTGCCTTGAACAGTGCTGGAAAGGACGTGCTATTAGGTGTCACTTAATCAGCAAAGTAGTAGTTGTTAGTATACTCAGAACTGTTCTCAACACTTGAACAGTAACGGCACCCGTGGGGTCAGGTTTGCAATGAACCAGGCGAGTGAAAACTGCTTTCTGGGGCGTCCCTTCCACCAGGGCTGCAGTGGTGTCCGCATCAATTAGAAGGATAGACCGGCTGTCTGCCAGAGCCATCTGGTCTACCTCCGACAGCGCGTGAGCTCTTGATGGTTGACTGTCTGGCTTGGAGCAGGGGTACAGCTCACGTGGAGCCTACACATTGCAGTCCTTGAACATCAGTTATGACTGGCCAATTCAGGTTCCAGGGGCATAGTGCAGACTCAGGGGGAAAAATACACACAGCCCGTCATTTCTCATTTGGGGGTCACGGTGACTGTATATTTCTCTACCTGCATCAGTCATAAACAGCATAACCAAGTGCCCTGCAGCTGAGTGACTTGGGAAGAATGGTGTCTGCTCTCGCCATGTAGGAAGGTTGGTCTGGAATGGGCCAGCGGATGCTGGGTGGACCAGACCTGTATCCCAAGTCTTTCCTGCTCCTTGGACCATCTGCTGTTGAACTACCTGCTTGCTCCTCTCATGGGGATGATGACTCCCAGGCAACAGAGATCACACTCAGCCCAGCCAGTACCTCCAGGCCTCAGCTTATGGCATATCTTCTAACCTCTTCTTATTGCCAATGCTGGCCAGGTGGCTGCACGCCTGGTCCAGGGAGGGGGGCGGCTCACTCTACAAAGAGAACCACAAAGTCACATGTCCCAGGGGTGTGGTTGCGGGGAGCAGAGGAAGACAGAGTTTTCCTGCCTCATATACCTAGTTCCCCATCTGACTTCCCCAATTTGGTGATGTTAAAGAGGGCTCCTCTTGCTCCTGGCAGCCCCTGGCTTCCCTGGCACTTGCATTGCGATTCGAAAGGCATCTGTAGCCTCCGAGCACGTTGCACATTCCCCTCTGGTCTCCAGGAGCCTTTGTTCTGACAGACAGGAATTTACTCTACTGTAAACCAGAGAGTCCCAATTTAGAGAGACGTGATGCATCAGGCAGACAGCCCCAGTGACCCGGTTCCACTTCGTTACCCTCTGCAATTAAGAAGGAGGTCACCGAAAGTGAGACCTGAGACCGTGTGTGTGTGTGTGTGTGTGTGTGTGTGTGTGTGTGTGTGTGTGTTTCACTCCTTGGATTCTCTAGACCACATTACGTTAGAGAGTGGCTTCTCATGTCCTGTACAGAAGGAGCAACGAGCAGTAGGCAAGTGGAGTGTCCAAGAGATAGACACTGGTGGGTTCTTAACTTCCTTCTGGTTAGTTAATTAATACATTAAAGAAAGAACCCTCGTGTTTTGTCTTCCAGAAGCTTTTGAATAGATATTGGACCCCACTCCACAAGACTTCAGGGTCTCTAGTGTTGGAGCACCAGGCAGGAAATGGGGCTCCCTGCTTCTCGCTTCCACAGGCTCAGAGCTTTGAAGATGCAAAAGCCAGAGGTTTCTGGCAGTTTCCCCACAAAGTGAAGTTGTTCTCAGGGGTTCTGGAGAGCATTCCCCCCCACACCCCATCACCCTCTTGGGATTCTGAGCCATGAATCGATGAAGCGTAAGCCCCCAATAATAGCCTGATTGGCTGTGAAGCACAATTTAATTGATCTGGGCATGCACCCAACACCCGAGTGTCTGGCTGGGTGGGGGCCTGGCTTGGAGAAGGAGGCAAAGGTCAACTGTACATACAGAGTCTCATATTCTCGTCCAAATCCAGAGGGTGTGAATGGACTAGAGAGACACACCCGTACACACACATACATACGCACACACAGATATGCACACAGAGACACACGTACACACCCACATGTGCATATTTGCATCATGCACATATGCGCGTGCGCGCACACGCGCGCACACACACACACACACACACACACACGCGCGCCCCAAAGTGTGAGGCTAAAGGACTCTTTGGGACTAGGGTGAAATGTGAAAATCCCAGGATGTTTCCCGTTGCCGAGTCCTTCTGAGCCTTGGAACTAGGGTGGGAACTGGACTTGGAACTAGAATTGAGGGAGAAGCCCCCCTCGCTTGAAAATGAGGTCAAAACTGACCTGAGACCCAAGTGTTCCTGGGCTCTTGGCTTTCGGATGCATCAGAATCAGAATTTGGCAGGAGGGGAAGTTCAGTGGAAACGAACAACGAACAACGACCTTGGAAGTCTGGAGCGGTTGGCCTAAGGCAGAGATTTCAAAGGCTCCAGTTTCCTCCTCCTCCTCCAGCTGTGCTAAGAATACTGCATGCATACTACCCTGCCCTAGGCAGAGCGTCAGGGAGGGTTCTTCTGGCGTCGCAAAAGAACCAAGATTCGAAAACAACCCCTGTGCTCCTCAGCCGAGGAAGGGATGAACAGAAGATGGGATATGCATCCTATGGACTAGTATTCCGCCTTTAAAAAGATGGAAATCGATCCATAGTGCCAGGAAGAGAGGTCAAAGGGCAGGAGTATATGCCTGGCCTGTGTGTGGCCTTGGGGATGTCAGTCTTGCTCCTCAGCACCACATGACTAGTCGTTGAATCCCAACCATTCAGATGTCACCAGGAGTGGCCCCAGGACCCTAGGGGAATGTGCCGGAAGGATTTTCATTCTAATACTGCCGAAAATTAAAGATGGAAATCTTGCCTTAGGGGACAGCCTGGATGAACCAGGAGGATGTTAGTAGGGGGGAAATCAAGCCAGACACACACAAAAAAATAGATGCCCTGACACCCCCTCGCCTGCCGGCTGGCCGGTGCTCATTTGCACGGCACCCTCAGACACCGTTGGCAAAGTCTGCTGGGACCAAGGGAAGCTTCTCACCCATCTGCCTTCCGCGCCCTCAAACCATGCCTTTCTCTAGAAGGCACTTGGTGGTTGTCTTCCGCAGAACCCCGAATCCAAAGCGGTTCCGTTCCAAGCTCGCACAGCGCAGACAAAAATAGCTTTTATGTCCCGGCTTCCTGTTTCCCCTGGAAACGGCTTGCTTGAAAACCAGGGGCCTCCTCCCCGCCGTCCTCGCCTCCCCTCTGCCCCCCCACCCCCCAGCCTCCGCCTCAAGAGTTCATGTTTAATGACCCGAGACATTCCCACCAAGCCCTTCCAGTCAATTGGCTTTTGTCGCGAGTGAATGAATAGACTTTTCTTGGCCTTCTCGCCTGAAAAGCCGCTTCCCGGGCCCGCTGGAATGTGCTGCCGGAGCAGGAATTAAGCTTCTCTGTCTGTGTCTCCGTCTCTTTCTTCCCTCATTCTTTCCAAGATCAGACACCAATTGGTGGTCTTGCCCCTAAGGAGGACTTTGTATTCTCCCAGGTTTACCCCTAATCCCTCGGAACCCCATCTTCCCCTCCTCGGCAGGATCGGAACCCCCTTGGCCCTCTCCGGCCGGGGGGCTTCTCTGCTTAATTTCTCTTGCTTCATCATCTTCAGGGTCCCTGTGCGTGCGTCCCCGACCTGGGACGTGGGTGCCTCTGGGAGCCTCTGGGTGTGGGCGGAAGTGATCTGGGGGCCGGTCAGGCCGGACCGTCCTGTTCCCAGGTCCTGGGTCTGGGTCGTGGGTAAGGGCTCCCCCCGTGGGGTTGTCCCACGGCATGGTTAAGTGGTGCTGGGCACGGGGTCACCGTTTTCCAGGTTCTCTCTTCTCACGCCTCCTTTCTCCTTTCTTCTTCCCGCAGGACCCGCAGCCGAGCCCGCTGATCTCTCGGGAGAGCCAGGTCAGTACTGCCCTGCCCCGTGCCAGCCATCTCTGCCTGCCCTCCCGCGCCAGCCACGCACAGAGCACTTCCACAGCCTCTCCGTCCCGGGGCTCAGGAGCACCCAACACCGTCCCTCTGACCTTCTGTGGGATGCATGTGGGCATGCCCATGTGTGCATGCGCCACTGACTCTGTGTGTGTGAGTGTCTGTGTGAGAGTGGTTGTGTATGAGTGTATGTGTGTGTGTGTGAGTATATGTGTGAGTGTGTGTGTGAGCGTATGTGAGTGTGAATGTGTGTGTAGTATGTGTGTGAGTATATGTGTGTAGTGTGTGAGTGTGAGCATTTGCATGTATGAGTGTGAGTGTGTGAGTGTGAATATGTGTGTGTAGTGTGTGTGAGTATATGAGTGTGAGTGTGTGTGAGTGTGAGTATATGTGTGTTAGGTTGTGGTGTGGTATGTGAGTGTGTGAGTATATGAATGTGAGTGTGTGTGAGTACGAGTGTGTATATGTGTGTGAGTGCGAATGTGTGAGTGTGAAGTGTGTGAGTGTGTGAGAGTGTGTGTGAAGTGCGTGTGTGTTTGTGTAAGTATGGATGGGTGTATGTGTGTGAGTGTTAAAGTGCTTGTGTGAGTTTGTGTGTGTGTAAGTATGTATATGTGTATGTGTGTGAGATGTTAAGTGTGTGTTTGTGTGTGTGAGTGTGTGTGTGTGTGTGTGAGAGAGAGAGAGAGAGAGAGGGAGGGAGAGGGTCCGTCCAGGCTTCTGTGAACCCAGCTCTCTGCCTGCATGCACACCCAGTGCCCGAGTTCCTTTGATCTGCTCATGGGAGGGCGGGCAAGGTAGGCGAAAAGGCAGGGGTGAGTGTCCCCTCATGTGGAAGGGGGAAGAAAAGACGTCGGGAGGGGAGGGGCACCAGCGCCAGCCCCTCCCGCCCGTCCCTCATCCAAACAGCAGGGGCCGAGTACAGCAGGGGAGACGCTTGCCTGGCATCCCTGACACCACAGCGCCCCCCAGCCCTGACCCTTGCCAGGAGTGGCCCCCGAGCACAAAGTCACCGCTGAGCACGCTGAGTGTGTGTGAGTGTGTGTGTGCCCCCGAAACAAGAAACAAGAAGCAATGAGCAAGGCACCATGTTCACAGTTCGGCAGCTAACAGCCCAGAAAGTTCTGTGACCAGAGAGCCTTCATCCTGGTGGGGGCCGGTGGGCGAGGGAGGTTGCCCCGGTGTGCGAGCCAAGCCCCTCCTGGGATTTCGGTGGTGATCGAGGGGCCGTGATATAAGGAAGGAGATGGGCAGGGCCGGGGGTGCAGGTGCTGGCCAGGGGAGCGTTTGAGGACGCCTTACCCAGGCCAGAGCCTGCATCAGGGAGCTCTGCCACGTTGGCACATCACTCTGGGTTTCTGTACAAATAACGCGCGTTTTCCTTACGCTCAGTTAAACCGCGGTGCCCACTCAGGCCCTGGGCATCCCCGGAGGTCGGGACGAATAGGGCACTCTCTCGGGCGGCGGGCCCTGGAGGGGGGCAAGATGCTGAGGGCCCTGATTGGGGGCCTCGTCCCGTCCAGCACGGCCCCAGGCGCCTCCTTCTGCTGGGCTGGGACCCCCGGGTCTTTGCTGGGTTGTGCCAGTCAGCACTGGGGCTCCCGTGAGGAGCCAGGCTAATAGTTATCATTAGCTAATTAGCTGCCAATTGTTCACCGGAACTGAAGAACTGAAGCCTCGGCTAAACCAGCAATTCCCTGCCTCCCCCGAGGGCACGGGGCTGGGCTACCGGTGTTTCCAATGCGGGGCACACAGAGGGGGGCTGTGGGCATCTGGTGGGCAGAGCCCGGGGTAGGGGGGGAGCACCAGGCCATCACATCAGCACCCTCAAGTACCCACTTGCCTTCTTGCCTAAAGCAGGATGTGCCGTGGGTGTTGTGTGTGTGTGTGTGTGTGTGTGTGTGTGTGTGTGTGTGTGTGTGTGTCGGGGGGCTGGAGGGTCTCTGGTCCCTTCTGTCCTTTCACCTCTGTGCCAGTCACCCTCTCTGCTTCACCTGGGACCGAGCCTGCCTCCTCGCCAGGAGAGGGGCCTTGATGCCCCCTGGAAATCCCAGGTTTGCCTGGCCCCCGCACCTCCGTGGGGTGTGTGAAGGGGGCAGCACTGTCCAGCGGCCACGGCTTTCAGGGTCAGAGCCAAGATGGCAGAGCACTGGCCTGGCACGTGGCTGGCCCTGGGGTTGGTCCCCAGCTCAGCAAAATGTATCAGGGCACAAGCCTGAGCGGCTAAGCACTGGGACCCAGCGCCGGGCTGCAGAGGGCGGGTGGCCGGCGTTGAGCTGTGGACAGGGGTGGCCGCCGCTGGGCTGTGGACAGCATGTGGCCGGCTCTGGGCTGTGGACAGGGGGTGGCCGATTTGGGGCTGTGGACAGGGGGTGGCCGGCTCTGGGCTGTGGACAGGGGGTGGCCGATTTGGGGCTGTGGACAGGGGTGGCCGCCGCTGGGCTGTGGACAGCATGTGGCCGGCTCTGGGCTGTGGACAGGGGGTGGCCGATTTGGGGCTGTGGACAGGGGGTGGCCGGCTCTGGGCTGTGGACAGGGGGTGGCCGATTTGGGGCTGTGGACAGGGGGTGGCCGGCGCTGGGCTGTGGACAGGGGGTGGCCGATTTGGGGCTGTGGACAGGGGGTGGCCGGCGCTGGGCTGTGGAGCTGGCCTCACCGAGCCGTGCAGGCTGGGGCTGCCTCTCAGGCCTCTCCCTCCCACAGCTCATCCCCGCACCCGGCACTTTGAGCAAAGCAGTCGCCGTCTCCCCGCTTGGGGCTCCGATTAACCTTTCCCTCTGTGGAGAGCATCTTGCAGTCATCAGGGAGCTTCCAGACGGGGCTACCTGAGTCTCCAGCCCGTTAATCCTGATGGTGCCCGGCATCTGGCGAGCGGCAGACTGCCCCTCAGCCCATCTGCCCGCCTTTGCCCGGCTTCCCGCAGGGGGGCAGAACCTCTCTGGGTCCACAAGGCGGCTGGACTGGGCCGGGCCCCTCCCGTGACCACGGTCCTCTCCTCTGGCTCCAATTTGCTGGGTCCGTGGAGCCCCGGAGGGTCAAGGGGCAGGGAGGCAGCCATCCTCCTCCAAAAAGAACAAGGGGTTGGGGGTGGAGAGCTCAGTGGTTAGGACCCAAGATCAACCCCCAGCCTGCATGGTTCCCTGCTGAGCACCAACTGGTCCGTCCCCCAAATAAATAAGTTTACCATTAATTCAAAGTCAGCACACCCCAAGGCTGGTAAGGGGAGGCTCCTGGGCATTCCTGGGGAATGGAGCCCTCGAACCCCACGGCCAGAGGACCTGGAGGGGAAGGAATCTGTAGGGCGGGCAGCCCCCAGCTGCCCCCAGCCCCCGCCCTTCTGAATGGGTGTGGGGGAGGCAGCTTTGGGGGAATTGGGTGCCTGACACCCCCAAACAGTCTGTGGCTTTGGGGCCGATGCCAGCCCAGGGACAAAGCCCGCCGTGTGTTGGCGTTCCCACCCCGGGCCGGCCCCCCGCCCGCCCTCCCTCCGCAGCCTGGCTGGGGCCCCGGGGCCCTGAAAGCGCCTCTGTAGTGGCCAAGTGGGCTCTGGCGGGGTGCAGGCGTCGGCCCCGGCTGTTTGCTTAGCGCCCTTATTTACTACTTCCCTCTCCTGTGGGACCAGGGAGGGGAGTCTGTCTCTGGGCTGGCGCGTTCCCGCTCGCCGCCATCAATAGCGGACTGTGTGCTCCTGTTATTATTAGCCACGTCCTCTCTGGTTCAGACGGGGCCCGCCGAGCGCCGGACTGGGAATGAGGCGCAGCGTGTGTCACCTGGGGACGGGGGAGGAGTGAGTCTGGCTGGTGGGTCAGGCCAGGTCATAGTGCAGGGGTTGCTGGGGAAGAGAGCCCTGACCGGTGGTGTAGGGTCAGGGAAGTCGGCTGGCCACAAGGCAGCCACCTATATCACTCGAACCCAGGGCTGCAGAGCGGAGAGGTGAGATCTGCTGGGGCAGTAGTCCGTGCAAAGGCCCTGAGGTCACCTGCTCACAGCACCAGAATCTGGTGTGACCAGAACAGAGAGCTGAGTGGCGATGGACCAGATGGAATAGGCCCTCCTGTTGATCATCGATTTGCTCGAGCGGGCCCAGTAACGTCTCCATTGGAGACTTTGTTGTTACTGTGTCTGGACCAGATGGAAGCTAGACAAAATTTAGCTTTCATTGCCCGCCAGGAACCCAGTAGAGGATATTGGATGTGAGGTGACATCTGACTCCAGGCTTGGTGTCCCAGCAGTGCTTGGGGGACCCGGGGGGGGGGGGTTGGGGATTGGGCCCGGGTTCAGCATGTGCGTCTCCCGGGCCCTGGAGCTTCCTGTTGGTCGTTCCCTTGGGGCTGTTCTCAGATGCCCACGGCAGTGCCCTTGTCCTCTATGGAAAATGTGGTGGGGGTGTGCAGCGTGACAGTGCAGGGCTGCTTCGTGTGCGGCCGACCCGGGTTCAATCCCTGGCACCCTGAGGGTGTCTTGCTGAGCCCTGCCAAGGGCCCCCTGAGTGCAGAGTCAGGAGCAAGCCCCGAGCGCCTCCCCCGGGGCCGTGCCGCCCAGGGTGCCCCACCTGGCCTCCTGCACGAAGGCCAGTAAGGCGGGCACCACTGCCCGCTGCGGCCTCTCCCTGCCTTTGCTCGTGGCCCTGCAGTCACTGGCCGGGGACGCGTGTGTGCCTGCACAAGCTGGGGCGAAATCCTCCCCGTTGGTGCGCGTCGGGCTACTCGTGGCCAGCTCTTTCCGAGTGTCCTCCGACTTAGGGGCAGCGTCTCCGTTTCAGACGAGTTCATCGCACAGAACAGCCTGCATGTGCGCTGATGGGCAGAGCAGGTGACAGCGGGAAGGCAGGGTGGGGTCCGCAGCCCATGGCACAGGTCTGGGAAGGGAGACGCTCCTCCTTGCTATCCTTCTCCTTCTGGAACCTTCTTGTCCTTCTGGAAACTTCTTGTCCTCCTTCTGGAACTTTCTTGTCCTTATCCTTCTGGAATCTT